TATTACTTGCCAAACTTTCAGAATTCAGTTGTTAGTTTTACTTTATTGCAAGAGAAGAAAACAGTCATGTTTTCCAGCGATTCTCCTCACATCTTCCTTTCTTACGAGAATATTGAATGAAAATTCGATAATACAGCAATGTTAAAGATGAAAAAATCCTTGAATTCTCTAAATTTATGGTAATTTAGTCAGACTCATGTAAGTTCTTATAATTAGGCTTTTTTCATGAAACCCAGAGATCTAGTTGTAGCTGATTTAAGACATTATGATGTTGTCGGAAACAAACGGCGCTTTAGTAAGAGAGATTCCTCAACTTTATTGCCTATTTACAGTCTGTAAGTCTGATCGGGCAACTTGATTTTCTAATTTGAGTGACATGAGAAAAACTTGGGGCGACATGATTCAGGTTCCGGGCGACATAACTTTAGGCGAGATGACTTCTGGGCGACTTCTCTAGTTACCTTCTTTACCTTTCCTACTAGTCACGCGTTCGTCGTGGTCAGGCATACTATGCAAATGAGTAGCTCATGACCATTCAAAATTAGTTGACATAATTCAATTACCCACACAAAAGGTAAGGTTACCTTTACGGTAAATGCTTTGTAAGATTATCTGGTAATTATTTCTATCACTTTCATCTGGGTGTAAACACTTTGTCGCTAGGTCACGAAGCTGATTGTTCATCCTTCGCACTTCTTTCGTCATCATGGGACTGAAACAGGAGCATTTTGACAAAATAATTCCCGGCGAATTTATTTGTACCCATTGCCACGATGTATTTCTAGAGCCAGTTTGCTTAGCTTGTCAACATGTGCTATGTAAAAAGTGTTTCAAGAAGAGGATGAAACGCAAAACACCTACGTGTCCTGTTTGCAAGAAAGCCCTGTATTTGGGCGACCAAAATACTGATGGGGAATGGAGAGAGCAGTACGAAAGCCTGCAAGTCAACTGTCCGAAGGGATGCGAGAAAGTGTTGTCGCTAGGAAAACTAAGTGATCATTACGGTAATCACTGCCCACTGACTTTCACTGTTTGCGTGAACATCGGTTGTAATCGGAAGGTACGGCGAAGAGACCTTCCATTACACCTCCAAAGTTGTGACTTCAGAGTCGTACAGTGCGAGGGATGTGGGTTCTCAACAAAATATGTCGATTTACGAATGCATCAAATCGTTCAGAAGTGTCTCCTAAGGACTCGTTTGCACATGATTGTGCAGAACCGCCGTGAAATGACCGCGCGAGTGAAACAGCATCGTCTGAAACTGCGGGAGGAAAGTTTTCAAGTCGAGCTCGAGGAAAGAGATTTGGATCGCGCAAAGATGTGGAGTGCTATTGCCAGGAACGAAATTTCAAGAACAAGCAGTGCAAATCATCTTTCATACGGAGGGAGACAGTCTCCAGAAGTTACTCGTTACAAAGGAGCTTTATCGAGAGTGGTTTATAGCGCTCCATCATCTCCGGTGATGTCCTCTGCAGTGACGTCTAAAACTCTTGCTAGTGACACCAAACTATGTACTAATTGCAATAAGCTTTTCAGTGAACACCGTAATCATGAGGAAGCTTGCAGGTGGCACAAAGGGGTAAGTGACTTTTCTCTTTTTTTATGATAAGTTCATCACTTTGTTCCCATGCAGCTAGCAAACTTAGTATAGGTAGGGAGGGGAGGGTGCAGCAGACAGGAGGGTTTTTAATTAAAGAGTGGAGAGTTTAGAGAGCCCTCGTAAGTGCACATTGGAACATAACAAAACTTGGGACAGTGTCTCATCGTCTTAAACAGTAGAATATACTCCATGTTGTCACATGGTAACATGTTTGTTTCATCAGATGACAACAAGTAGTTGAAAACGGTGTGTAATTTGCAGCCTCATTTTTTTAACTTCAGACAAAAGCCTCCACTCTGGGTGAAAATATGCACAGATGTTTTTCCACTGACATTGTCTGTTCTGAGATGTTAACACTTTTGCAAGGGCAAAGCATGATACTAATAATTTTTACAATCAAAAAAAGCAATCTGTGGTCCCCATTCTGTTATTTTTAACAAAATGATAAAAATATCAATTGTTTGTCTTACTGATAATAAAGTACTTGCATATATACTAAAAATCAAATATAAGCAAGTTTACTTTGTCTCTTTCATTTCCTTCTCATTTATGTGTTGAATCTTACCTGACATCAACAGCCGGTATGTACATTTAACATCTATCTGTTGAATGCTTTTTCTATTTAACATTAATTTGTAAAGTATTATCAATATACAATACATGAGTTTACCAAGTCCCCATTCTTGAAAAACTTAATGCTACAGTGCTTCCAAGTGGAGCTGGTGTTTGTTGCTAGAAACTCTCTGCTTTGTTTCATAACATTTTTAATCTGTGTTAGTTTTGATACTAGCTTCAGGGTGTTATTTGAGAATTTACAATTTTTTTTAGGATGAGACTCCTCAAATGAAGGTTAACCTCGTCCAAGCAAAAGATTTACAATCAGCCATTCCCAAAATACAACCCCTTCCCTACCAAGTTTATGTTTTATAGTCAATTAGAAACAGACAATTCAAAGGTGCTGTAATCCATTTAAGTTGAAATTCAGCATCTTTCCTCTAATCTGGAGTTAAACCTGTACAATAGATCTGATTTTTTTTATTCCTTCTTTTATGTGCCATGGAAAGGTTGTGGATGTGGTAAGTGACTAATTTGTTTTTTCAGACCTAGGAATGATTTTATTACTTAATCAACAACTGCATCCGTAAGTGGAGGTTGGGTGCCTGAAACATCCAGGGGCTTACACTATTGACAGCCAGCTCCTAGATGGAGACTTCTCCCATGGCTGGAAAATCCTGGCAACCTAGCCATACATCCCCACACAGGAAAGGGAAAAAGGCACCTGCCACACTGAATAAACAGTAGAAAGAAGGAGGGAAGTGGGTGGGGAAAACTGCCACTCCTCATAATGCTGCAGGTTCATGCTCAAAGCCTGAGACCAAAGGCACATGGAATTCTGATGCATGTGCATATGCAAAAAAAAACTGCTAACTACTAGAGAATGCTGATGCTCTTTGTCATTAACTCCATTAAATTGCATTTAACTGCATCGTAAAAAAGAAAATGAACAAGTTAAACTTTTGGGTGAATCCAGTTGCTCATTTATGTCATGTGACTTGACTCTGAAGAAAACATAAATGAAAATTATTACTTCCAGCCAAATTTGAAGAGAAGCATACAGTTTGTAAAATTATCTCAAGAACACAATATACAGACTGTTCCCCAGAGAAACCTTTTTTCCTTTCTTATTTGTCACCCTCATGTTGAATTTCAGAGGAATTTGAGTTACCTTAAAACAGATCATGCCTGCTATCACTAATTTTTCTTTTGTTTCTTTTTTTCCAACTGTGACAATGTCCTTCTCTTCAGTTTGTAAGTAAAATTCCTCTTTAATTTCTAACTTTGTTTTTTTAATATGAAATACTTGAATGGGATCTACACCATTCTACATTTTAAACAGGAGTTGTTTTTACTTGATATTGTTTTGTTTATTTTTTAATCAGTTTTGACATTAGTATTGAATCATATACTGTAAGAAATAGCATTTAATTCTACTGGAGAACAGAACTCACAATATTTGTGAAATTTTCTGTTTATTCATTTTAAAAACTAGTTTATGTATTTTATATGACATAATATATTATTTAATATCATGTTATTGCTACGTATTACATGTGGCTGTAAGACTATAGCAATATAAAACAATTGAAATTGACTAGAAATATTTTTGATATGCAATAGTCTGTGAGTAGACTTGCATGTATTCTCAGCACATATGGTAAAGTATAGGGATGCTGTAGCTTAAATCTGTTCTTGTTTTACCAATGAGACTACAAAAATAGCTTAACTAACTCACAGAAATGATTCAATACTAATTTTTGTTGTTATGTTTGTTTTTCATATGCCTGGCTTGCTTTTGCAGGGGGTAAGTTCTTCTTCTTACATCTGATTTCACAAAATGGTTACAGTTCATATTTAATGCATTAAAGGTTTGAGCCACCAGCAAGATTTTGTTGAAACAGGAAAATATTTTTTCCGCTGAATTTTTGCGTTTCATGGAGCCTTGGAAAAAACTGAAATTTGAGGGTAACATTTTTGAGTGTTTTGTTATATAACACAACAAAGACAGTAGAAGATGTAAAGAGAAAACTAAATGTCATCTCAAGCCACCTTCAATCATGCTATGATCACATGCAGGTTTAGTTGTTGGTTAATTCTTGTAGTTAACACTGCACTGTTAGCCTTTGACTTTATGAATTTTGCAGTTTTGCCTGATTAGAGATGTTTGATTTGAAAGTGTGCTATTGTGAAAAACATTTCCAACTACAATGTATATAACCTTTATGGTTGCATCCATTGAATAAATAGTGGTGAATTTCATGTGTAATTATTATTAATGGTAAATTATTTTTTTCATTACATCAAATGTCTCCTGACAACAATAAAAAATTTGAAGGGGGTAAGTACTGAAAAGTTGTTCAGTTTTACTGAAATCTAAGCAATAAGTTAACTTTTAAGCAATTATGTGCTTTGATTCATAGTAAGTTAAAATTAAAATGTTCTGAATGAAATCTTCAAAATAATTGCTTAGATTTACATGGATTTCATTTATGTGTTGTTTAACATGCAATAATATTCTGCCCAAAGTAATTTACTTCTGTTCTTTTTTCTTAACCTGTTATCTGCAACACATTTCTCTCCTCTTCATTTCAAAGATGGTAAGTAACTACACATCTAGACATTTATTACAATTATAGCTGTTGGTTTAGAAAATATACAATGCCTCCCACAAAGGAGGCATAGTAGATTCTTACTTGTCTTTAAAAAAAGATTTCAAGTTGGTTTTTGACCCCCTTCTCCCTTCTGTTGGATTTCTGTGGACTCTAAATATACTGTGCCTCCCACAATGGAAATTTTGGCAAGAACCCTGACTTTTCTCCTCTTGATTCATACCTGTCTTTAAAATAAGGATTTTGACCCCTCTCTTCCCTTCTCACCCTAATCTGAAGAAATAACCTGAACCCTAATCAAAGGGAATGGATGTTTTCTGGAGTCTCATTAATGCAAGATTTGTATTTCTTTTGTAGATAATTTTATTTACTAAGCTAATCAAACTGAATTTAAAATGTGCACTACTGAAAAGAGAATGTTCAAAATGTAACACACTCTTAAAATGTGACGCAACAGTTTTTTGTCACTCTCTTGTTATCTTAAATTTATATCATTATGATTGTTGTTGATGACAGTGTCAAGCCTGTGGTAAACTTGATAACCTTGAGGGATGTATGAGGGGCCTCCATGTATCTGTTGATTCAAGAGACAAGAAAGCTGGAAGAACTATCAGTGCCTTTCTTACATGAAGAGTCTTGGAAGATTTATTTGGATACTGCTATGAACTTTTCATCTCTTGTTGAATAGAATTTAAATTTAATTATTCGCACTTAAACTTTTTAGTTACTTTTTGGATGTTTTCCAACCAACAATTTCTGACATTATGAATGTTAGCTTTCGAACCACCCATTAGTTCTTTATAAAGAGGGATCCAAATATTTATTCTGCTTCAGGATCTGAGGATCTATAAAATAAATTTCATATTAATAGACAGCAATGTTAAAAGACAAGACAAATATCATTCTTGTGAACAACCAACTAAAGATTAATTTATAAGTAGCATTATCCTTGACAATACAGATATGTAATGTCTGTGAAATTTGTATTTGCATCCATATGTGTAAATCAAGCTACTGTTTCAGAAGTGTAAGGTATTTTGAAAATTTGTGTTAAAACAGCTAGTGCATTTAATGTAAGTTTGCTCTCTATCAACATCTGTACAGATTTAATTGATTAATAGTGAAAATAAAAGTTTGTGTTCTTTATACAGTATTAGCAAAGTACTTACCTCTTTTTTCATTTCTCTTTTCCAACGACACATATTATAAGGCTCACCAAGAAAGAAAACCCACTCCATGATATTCTTTTCACTGGAAGTAGTTACATCCCATTGCTTCCATACGACTCTTGCTGCTTGGAGAGTGAATAACAGTTACAAATATCAACTGCACAAGTAACTTATTGAAAGATCATTGAACTGAACCTGGTTACTCATGAAACACAAATAACAGTATACTTTTAACTGTGGGTATCAAAATTCAGTTTATTTGTTCTTTTTTTTTAATATATGAAGTGAAATGACAAGTAAACAGCAACAGCACCTTATTGGGACAGTCCATGTAAGGGTTTTCACAGGTTACTAGTTTCTGAAGTGCTGGCTACTTCATCAAGACAAAACAGTTAAATACCAGTCTTGACAAGAAATACATTGTAATCTTCGCCTTGATTCCATATATACTCAAAAGATTGATTTAAGCTGGAAAGAAATTATAATTAAAAGTAAACGGAAAAAATGCGAGCGGAATGGGTGCTACTGTCCATTACAGACCCACTTGTTTCCGACTGGTTACTGATTCTGCTGGTGTTCCTTCAAACTTATTTGTGGTGAATACATGGACCTCCATTATTTCAGGTTCACCAATAAATTCAAACTTTAAAAGCCCAGCCTCTTGCAGTTCATTTACTATAAGACCAGACTCTTCATGTAACTCCCTACAAGAACAGTGACATGACTAGTGACTAACTCAGACTGTCCTCAACACAACATATAAAACTAGAATATGCTTACATGAGATTCAATCTTCAAAGTGAAGATTGTCATAAACTTTTGATAACCCTGTCCTTGGAGGGATTTTTTTTATAACTTCACACTATTCTGAAACAAAGGCCTAATTCCAAAGGCAGTGCGGTAAAAGCATTTGCTATCGTAGGATTCTTCCTTCGTGACTCAAATAGCTATAACACAGTGTTTGGCTCATGCACGTTGTGACAAATTGTACTCTCTTGCAGACGAACCGCGTGCCTTCATAGTGGTCCGTCTCAAATCGGTCAAAACATCGTCTGCTTCGTCGGAAGAAAATCTACCTTTAACAATAAACTCATATATCACAAGCCGACTGAATAAGAAATTATAATAAAGAGTAAGTACTATGTAATTTTACCTCTTCGCTGCTTCCAAAACTGTTTCATTTGAGTGCACTTTCCCGCCAAAACCATTCCACCGTCCCACACCAAATCCTCTCTTTTTCATTCCAAGAAGAACATCCCTGTTATTTCTAATTAGGGCTAAAGTGTACAGCTTAGTCTTAGTCATCCTGAGCCTCTTAATTTCCTAGATCATCAAAGGATTTGACTGTTTTGTTTCCTTTAGGTAGCTGAGCGATTACCAGAACTGATTACTTGTGTTGCCGCACGAGTACGTGGCGTTCCATTCACTACAAAATACGCGGTGTATGCCTAAAGCAGATGTCTTCAACAAAATGGGGCCCGAAACCATATTTTAAAATAAAACTTTAAACAAAAGGGTAACAGTTTCTGGCACCCTAACAGGTCCATTTTGTTTCTTTAGCTGAAATTTTTGTTGTATAATTGTCAAAACTTTTTTAACTCTTCTCTTGAATGAAAATAGAACAGCTTCACGAGCCCGTTAAGTTACCGGGACCTCTTGGTAACTCAATGGGCCTCAAAAGCTGTTCTAATTTTCTTTCCGGGTGAGGGTTTCAAACGTTTTGGAAACGATAAAAATAACAATGGACTAGTAAAGCTAAGGGTGCCAGAAACTACTTCTCTACTCTTTAAATTTTGATTTTAAAATATGCTTTCGGGCTCGTCAAGTTACCGGGACTTTCGACTAACGGGCCCCTGTTGGCACCATACCAAGCGATCACCCACTATTTTAACGGTCAGTTGTCTAAATCTCGAAACTTTTAGCCTTAATTATTCAACTATTCACCTCCAGTTAAGCGGTCGTGGCCAACCTTTACCGAGAGTCCCATCGGTCTGGTTGTATTGTGCTCCGCCTGTATTGAACGACCTTAGAGCGGAACCACTCAAATAAAAATAAGAAAATCTTCAAGTAAAATTTGAGTCATGTTTATCTCCCGAAATCAATGTTAATTGTATTTTTGAGCGAGTTTTTGTGCAATTTTTATCGTTTCTGTATTAAGCGATCACCACTCCCCGTGGGTGACCGCTTAATACAGGCTCGACTGTAATAAAAAAAAACCCTTGGGTTTCTGGCGGCCGGCATCTTGGATGATAATGTCATGTTGGATGACAATCTTTGCGCCAAGGCAATTATAAGGTGACATACCACCCCGCCAGAAAGTCACAGAAGGTGTATTTATTTTATTACTTTCTTAGGACCGGGTCGCACGAGAGCGAGTTTAAATATTTGCCAATTTTTCGCGAGCCAAACGTTGGCAAAAAATTTTCAATTTTCAATTTCCAATTTTTTGGCGGCGGTCGCATCAAACTAGTATCCTCTGATCAAAACTTCATTCATTGACAAATGCATCAGTCAGTACCGTATCTCTCTCTATTACAAGATACAGAAAAATTATCGCTCGAATTACTGGGCAGGAATGGATCGTTGTCGAGTGATTATCTTCGCGGCTTTCGTGGAATTTCGCATTCTGCGCACATTAAAAGTTTGTTAGTGTATTATCAGCAGGCTTCTATGCGGCTAGTATCAGCTTTTAAACGTAGAAGACTAATTATGTGTTTAGTTAAACACGAAAGTTAAACAACCTCATTTAGGGAGTTTTATTAAATACGGTTTTAAACATGTTTGGCTACACGCGCCCGCGGTGTGAACAGGTAGTTTAGTAAAACCAGTTTAGTAAAACAAGATTTAAACATGTTTAAGCTTTAGTGTTAACGGGGCATAAGACTTCGCTTAATAGAGCCCGCTTTCGAAACTGTCCTTGGTCGAAGTCCTTTCCGTGTCTAGCGGAGTCGTGGTTCAAGATTGGGACAATGTATTGTACTTCGCTTTCTTTTTTTCCTGCAGATCTTTTTGGTTGCAGCTTGTGCTGGCTTCGATAATTCTAATGAAGGAGAAGTACCCGTTGAAGCCGATTGTTCTCCAAATTGCCGCCAGTGACCGTGCCCAGGGTACGAACAATCTCCGAGAGTTGATCAGGAAATTATTCCTGTCAAAAACTGATCAATACTGCCTTGAACTAGGGGTAGAGTTCAGTCCTCCTTTCCATTTTTATATTCAAAACCCCTTGGGAGGAACAACCTCTCTGAACCAGCCAAACCACTATTAACTACCTTTTGTTCAGTATGGACCACTCGTTTAAGCGACGAACTCACATGATCCCCGTTTAACAGAGGTGGGAGAGAGAGAAGGTTTGTTACCTGTCCAATTATCATTGGTTGGTTCACCATGATTAAAATAGAATTAGCGTGACAATGATCGTAATAACACTGAGAAGCATGAACACATTCAAACGAATAACCTTTGGGAGACAAATTTGTTATAAAGGCTTTAACTTTATTATGATGCATTTGTGCACAATTAAGACTTCTGAAAGCTATCAATATATGTTTCCCCTCGCTACGGCTTTGCCTCTTAAAAGTGACCACATAAGCTTGACATTTTGTGCGGTCCCTTTACGATCAGCGACAAATTTACTCCCTAATCCCGAATGTCCCTTTGACTGACCCTACATACATAGAAATGTTGAGACTAACCTTTAAGGCATTTGAAGATATTTTCTATATTTCGCTACTAAATAACATATTGCTAATTTCCCCATTAGGGACTTAATATTATCAAATAAAGCAAAAATGTTACGAAATAAATAAAAATCACGACTTTTCTGGACTACGTACAGGTTGTATAAAAATAGCGATAAGCAGTTAAATACTTTAGAGTGAGACAGTTCTCCACTATATGAGGTGTTCAGTTTTTTTTTTCCTTTTTAAAACAGCCCGGTAAAAAAAAATTCACAATTTCACTCACAAAATTTGACTGGCAGTCAAAATAAATACATGTACAAAAACTTTTCATAAAGACCCTTGTATTACAATATTCCTCAGCCCCATAACTTCGATAAATCTATAAAATAGAACATCCACATGGCGAATCCCACACAAAGGTAGCTTGCGAGCACGCCCTAATTAATAGTGCTACGTTTCTCCGCCAGCGGGAAGATTTGAGATGAGTGGCCTTAGTCGGGGAGAGGTTTGCCGGGGTCTGGTACTATCAGGGCCAAAACCCTCGCAGACCTCTCGCCGGCGCGCGTTGTTCAAGGTCCCATATTTTCGCAGTACACTCATGCCAAGCGCTAATAATAAGGGTCTCGCACAAGGGTGAATATAACGATCCTCTTTAGTTTAACAGACCCATTTTGCCTTTGAGTTCCCAAACACTTCTTTGCATCGGAGAACCTCACACTTCAAAGTTTCTGTCTATCCCAAATTTTTCATACAATTCTTAAAATCGAAAAACATTCTTCAACTCACACACAACCAGAAAATAAAATTCAAACCCACACAGAATTTCTTGGTCTTCATTGTGTAGAGGTAATTAGTTTCAGGCAATTCATGAAGTAGAGGCAGTAGATCCTGAGTCCAGTCCCCACAGCACGTTATTCGGGTATTGTAGCTGAAGGGCTTCTTTAACTTGAAGTCCATGTTCGCGGTCTCTTACTTCAAGTACTACTTTGATCTGTTGAAATGAACACAAACACGTCAGGTTACAACTAAGACTGGTTAAATTCAACTTTTGGGGGATAAGATACTTCTCTCTGAGTCTAAGTTACATTTGTTATGATCTGTTAGTGTAATAGGGTAAGGGAGATAATGCAATCACACAATGCAATCACACTCAAATGAGGTAATTTTCTTACCTGAACATTGAACACACTGGACACGAGCCATGCTCTCTCGTGGAAAATATCTTTCACGCTGTAATAAAAATTTGCAAAGTAAAAGTTGCCTTCGCAGTGAATTTTGTACTCAAGTTAAATAAGATAGTTTTTCATAAGCAACTTGAGAGATACTTTTTAATAAGCAACTAGAGCCATACCTGGCTCCCAGAGAAGCCAACAGTCGCGTTAGTTCAGCGATTCCACCTGGCCGATCACTAACAGTAACAATAAACCTACAAAGCCTTCCATCTGCAGCTAATCCTCGATCAATACAGCGACCAAGCACAGTAGAGTCAATATTTCCTCCACAGAGCGGTATCACAACCCTAAAAACAAACTACTGAGTTAGTTAGGGGACAACAAAGACGGTAAACTGCAACGAGACATACGTTATCATGGCCAAAAACATACTGAATGTAATATTGGACCAGGGGCCCGTTTCTAGAAGCCCGAAGCCATATCTTAAAATCAAAATTTTAAGAATAGAGAAGCAGCTTCTGGCATCTTTATCAGTCCATTTTGGCTTTTTTGTAGCTGATAGTTTTATCGATAATTTTCAAAACTTTTGAAAACCCCATCTTGCATGAAAATAAAAAAGCTTTACGGGCCCGTTAAGTTACCGAGACCTTCGCAGAAATGAGCCCCCGCCCGTTACGTTACCGGG